CCGTAGAGGAGGTCGGGTTTCATCTTTTCTTCCATCAAACTTAGTAATTCATAAGTTTCTTTGTATGATTTGTTGATTAGCTATCATGTCTATGTGGAGCTAAACTTCACATTCTAGGGTTGTGGTTCTTTTATGACAATTTTTATTCGAATATTGATTTTGATTTCTTGATTTATCGTATTGGTTTATTTATTTAATCTTGTGCTTAATTATTTAATTTCTTGATCACCAATTGAATACTATTTACGAATCTAGAATTGAACTCAAAAGTGGGAATTCTAAATTTCATATAGGGTTGAGTAGAGCAAGTTCTTGAACCTGGGCATCAGGGAACGGATTCGAGGTTAGGATAGACATATACATAATTGTCTTGCTTGGTTGATTTACAGGAATTACAAATGTGTTCTTGCTAGTTCTAATTTCATAGACATATAGGCGTTAGGTTAGCTTGAATAGGCGAATAAGAACTCGACAGATTCTTATGAGCGATATTAACCCTGTTAACCAATAAACTAGATAAATCAGTTAGTCAATTCAATTGAAGAATATAATAGGAATATTTGATAGCCCATAACCCAAGATCATTTTCATCATATTGACAATATAAAAATCTGCTCTTCTTTTATTCAGAGTTCACTATTTGTTTTTATTTATTTTAATTAGTTTAAAATCAAATACTTCTAGTTTTAATTCTTGTTTAGATAGTTAGGATAGTCTAATTTATTTAATAGTTAATCACAAGTCCGCGTGGGTTTGATACCCGACTTTTAGTCACTTTATTACTTGACGATCGCGTATGCTTGCATGTGCGTTTGGCCGCAACAAGTTTTTGGCATCGTTGCCGAGGACTTAGAAATTAGCTATTTTTCTAGATTAGACATTTATTTTTTTATCTATTCATTTTTTTGTTTTAGTTTAGTTATTATTTTTTATTTATTTTAACATGGAATCTTGGAATGAAAATTATTCGAATGATGGTTATTCTTATTTTGATGATCCTTGTCCATATTGTGGAGGACACCACTGGTGAAAAAATTGTTAGAATAATCCTTGGAGCAAGTTGTGCGCACAATCTCAATCCTTTGAGTGGAATATTTGTATTATGTGTGATGACCAAGATGGCCATTGGGATGGTTGTCCTAATTCTTTTCATCCTTCTTATTATGATTTTTCTAATGATGTTTGTGAGTTTGATAGGATATGGAATCTGATGCATATATTAGGGATATTTTAAGGCAGGTAGCATAGTAACAGGATGAACTCAAAAAGCTATGAAAAGAATTAGGGCAACAATCACAAGAATGAAGGCCAATATGGAAGAATTAAATAAAGAGAGTGAATACCAGCAAGAGGAAAATTTTGAAAAAGAGGAGATTTTGAGTCAAACATGGCTGGTAGAACGAGCTGAAAGATTGGAAATATATGAGGCTCAACGTGAGGAAATTACAGATGGGATGAAAGACTTAATAGAAGGTAGAGTTGAGGTGGAGCAAGAAATTGAAAAATTTGGCACTGATATTCATGACTTAGAGGCTCAATTGAATGCAAAGGTTGATGCGTCTAACGCTCAACAAAATAGTAATGAGTTGTGTGAAGTTGAAGAGGAGCTTATACGCCAAATTGAGGAGCTAAAAGTGGAGAGTCAATCATTCGAGCATATTTTTGTTGATGATGCCCCTGTTGAGAAAAGTACACTAGAGCCATGTGAGGTAGCGGATAATGTTATATTTGAAGACTCTAGTGTGTGCATATATGAGGATGTAAAGAGAGATACAATTCTAGAGTTAGGGCATATTGGTCCTCATTGCATATATTTTTCAACATTGTGTTTAGGTGATGACATGGAAATCGAGTCATTAGAGCCTTTGGAGGAGCCAATAGATGAGGAATGAGGTGTTTACACTTTGGAATTTGTCGTGCTAGAGAGACAATTACATACCTCATTCGAAGGCCAAGAAGTGTAAAATGCGATATTGGTTTCTTGGCCCAATTATAATTGTCCCACCAACCTGGGAGAATAACAGAAAACTTGATGCCAAATTAGGGGTACAATTCATAAGTTCAAGGTGGAGGCAAAAAAGCAGCTCCCGTCGTGCCGTGACGTTAAATTAGGCATTTGTTGGGAGGCAACCCAGCTTTACTGCTTTCTTTTAATTTTGATTAAATTTTTTTCTTATTGTATTTGTTTGTAGTGTCTGTTTTATTTTGTAGGATTATAAGCATAGGAGGCACATTGGAAGAGTGCAAAAGTGAGTTAGATGGTGAAAACTAAGTGTGGGGCGCCCACACAAAGGACCATGCATGGGAGAAGTCTGAGTACCTCGTGAGCCGTTATTGCTTCGGTCTTTGGCCTTGCAGGGAGTTTCTTGTCCACCCTCATTATTGTTTTGTTTTATTTGTGCATTGGGGACACTGTACTCTTTTAAGAGTGGGGTGACAGAATTTCTCTAGATAATTAGTAGTAAGTTAGAAAAATGTTAACTTTGTATTTTTGTTTTCATAGTTGTGTAGTATTTTAGTAGCTCCTAAGAAAAATCGAAAGAAAAAAGTAGAAAAATTGGACTTTCTGTCACAACCCAAATTAGAGGGCCCCGAGGGGCACCCGGTGCCTATTCAACCGAGCACCACGTACGTTTATTCTATAAGACTCGTCACGGCCATGATAGGCCACAGTTATTTATATAATTAATAATATTAGAACTTAACTCACATATCTAATTCAAAAATATTTATATAGATACATAGGGGCCGACAAGGCCATTGACATATCATTCCTAAAGCTGTACACAGGACACTATCTGCAAAACCTCTAAGAAAACATGATCATAATATATAAGTTGGGACAGGGCCCCCGACATCTTCATAAAACAAAGTAACATATATAGAATGTGACTCGGTAATACTCCAGGAAGATGTGGAGCTCACCAACCAAAAGTTGATATTTGGAGGCAGCCTACAGTGGATGGTACTCACCTCACCTATCGACACCTCCATGGCATGAAACACAGCTCCCCAAGAAAATGGACGTCAGTACGAAGAATGTACTGAGTATGTAAGGCAGAAATGAAACATAATAATAATAATAAGATACTATCTCGAGGAGAGATAAGAGTTAACATATAACTTCTGGCTTGCCGCTGAGGGGCGTAACATGTAGAATAAAACCCATTCGTATATATAAATAAGACTACAACCTAGTAGTTCTGATTACATCATTCTCGTAGCATTAACTGCTCAACTGATCAGTGGTAACTGCCCGACCGGTCGACGCACGGTGATAAATGTATGACTGCCCAACCGGTGGTAAATAATGATACATAACTGTCCAACTGATGGTAACTGCCCAATAGGCCGTAGCCCGGTGGTAAATAAAGATGCGTGATTGTCCAACCGGTCATAGCACGGTGGTAAATATATAACTTCCCTTTCGGCCATAGCTCGGTGGTAAATATGTAACTGCCCAACATACAAGTCGTACACAAAAATGTCATCCTCCAAGAGATTATATAAACTCATTAAGCAACTTTGGTGTGCTTCTTTTCCCGAATCTTCCTCCTTTCCATCTATTGATTTGTCCACTTGCTTTTGTCAATTCTATTCGTCACTTAGGTCCACCCCTCCCCCCTCCGTCTATGCCTTAACTTTCTATGTTCTCATATTGCAGAAGCAATCAAATAGAATCTATCATTAAACACCATTCAAATTTTAAGCATTTCAAAAATGCATTTTGGGATGGCTTCTATAGGACCTAAGATCTACTTCAATATACTGAAAGTGTTCAAATACTATATAACAATTTATCCATTATTGGAAATTATGGATATCAAGATAAGAAATGCAAAGCAAAAGCAGATTTTATTGGTTATATATAGTTGATGCTTTATAGGTCTAATACGTCACAAATACCCACAGTCAATATCCAAGGTAGGATAAATACGACAATCAATGATACACAAAAAAAATATACTTAGACATGCTTAAATGTTACTTTACGGGGATGAGTAATGTACACATCCTTAATTGCTAAGAGTAGAAACACATAGAAAATAGCATTACGTTTACGTATTGTTACTTGGATAATGCCAAAAGAAAGAAGGGATAGTCTCAACATACCTGGAGTAGGAAAAATCTATATAATATTCTTGAAAAAGATTGCATCGTACTCCTTTATAACCGTAAAATTTTACGTTTCCTACGGTTCTAACAATTCTCGTTGGAATTGTTTGCAAGAATTTCTTGGTAGCTTTTTTTTTTTTTTCAGTTGAAGCCTAACGTTGTTTCTTGAATAAGCCTAGGTTTGAAAGACTTTCACTTCTTTATTAATTACTCCCTATCCAAGAATGAACCAAGCTTTTTAAAGAAACCAAATCTTATCTACACTTTTTGGTTTTTACACGTTAGATGGCCACTAGTCATTATATGACTACTTAGTCATTAGCTTTGAGGTTCCTTGCTGCCACCTGTTATCCTATAATTTAATAATTAACTAGGTAATGTCCGGCTACCCTATAATTAACCAATTATCCGCATAATTTAGTGTTTACCGTGAAAATGGTAATAACAATTAATCTCAAGATAATCTTATCCCTGAGTCTACATCAATTAACTGAAGACGAAACTTTTAACGTACGAAAATGCGAGATGTAACATCCTTCCCCCCTTAGAAACATTCGTCCTCGAATGTTTAAACTTGAAATATATACATATCAATATATTATAAATATATATCTTCCCCGGCTAAACTCCAATGAAACAAATATCATGCTCTCACGTGGTCAGGACGTCGGCCCTCCCTAAAACTACTTCCTAATCCATTCGTCACATATGATTCTGTTAATCTATCTTCTAGGTGCTTACACATATTGGTTGTAATCTTAATAACCGAGTTCATGCTTTGCTTTCAATCTATCCTTGAGCCTTGGTTTCCCTTAACCCTTCAGACGTAATGCCAACTTACTCTTACATTAATCATATTAACTGGACAATTTTTGTTAATAAGATCAAACATTACCAATAATCACAATACCTGACACATCATCCGGTGTAGCCTCTGGGTCCTGATGACCTGCCAAAGCATATATACGGTTTTGACTACCGCCGGAGCTAGATGCTCCACCCCTGCCTCTACCTCTACCAACTGATGCTTGAGGGCCTCGCTCTTGAGGGCGTACTGAAGAAGAGGAGACTGTTATAGATCTGGTGAGCTGAACCATCCCGCTTTTGCCATTTATAGGACAATCCCTCATGTAATGACTAGGGTCTTCGCAGGTATAGCATACATTATACCCCTGACGACATTGTCCAGAATGAGCTCTACCGCATTGACTGCACCGTGGAGGAGGCGCCCTCATTTGCACTGAATCCCTCCGATTCTGAAAACCCAAAATTCTCGAGCCCTGACCTGACTCAGAATAGACAGATCCCTCATAATATGACTTTTGTAACTGTTGGACACTTTCAATAGGGTATGGTGACATAGGATCGCTCGAAAAATCCCCAGGTCGCCTAGCAGACCTAGCCTTCTTACGCTGACCCTTATCACAATTCTCATATTGTTATCATTTCCGATCTTCTAAATTTTGAGCATAAGCCTGGATGCAGGAAATATCCATACCATCGAGCAGAGAAGCCGTGAATCATTTATTAATCAGGTGTGGCCCAAGTCCTACCACAAACTGATGCACTCGTCACTCATTTCAGCCACAATCGAGGGGGCATACCTCGCCAAAGAATCAAACTGGAGGCTATACTCCCACACACTCATATTCCCTTGTTTAAGAGCTAAGAACCAGTCTACCCTTGCCTGAAGAATCTCTGCCGGTAAGTAATGACGCAAGAAAGCCCCTGAGAACTCTTTCTATACCGCTGGAGATGCATTTGTCCCTTTAGACGATTCCCAAGTTTCATACCACTGAACCGCAACATCCCGCAATCGGTATGAGGCCAACTCTACTGACTCAGTGTTTGATGCATGCATTACCCTCAAGGTCCTCTGCATCCTATAAATAAAGTTTTGTGGGTCCTCATCCTTGTTGGATCCGGTAAACACTGGAGGGTCCAGGTTGATGAAGTCTCGAACTCTCGCGCTAATAACCCTGTTAATGTGACCAACACTTGTACCTACCTGGCGCTGAGCCTGAACGGCTACTAATCTAGTCAACAACTGTACTGCACTCCACATATCCATATCTTCATCCTGAACAATAGGTGGAGGTACTGGGTTCCTCCTCATCTCCTCGGGTGCTGACAAAATTGGAGAACTATGCGAGGGTGTTGTATTTCCCCTCGGGGCCTTACTCTGGCCCTCAATAGACATTGGTACTCTACTCATGCCCTCATTTGCCACTACTTTACCCTTCCGACTAGCCATAGCGTTCCTGGTCATAGGCATTGCTGCATATATAAAACAAGTCAAAGGTCAAGGGCTTTATTCCCTATGACTCTACTCTATTGCACGATCTAATATCAAGAAAGAAGGGTAACCGGTCCCTAAATGCCCTATAGTTTCTTGCTTATATAACGTGGTACACAACACATTTATAAACAAGACTCTACTAGACACCACTTGCAGACAACCCTAGGATAGAACTGCTCTGATACTACTTTGTCATAACCCAAATCAGAGGGCCACGAAGGGCACCCGGTGCCTACCCAACCGAGCGCCACATACTTTTTTATTCTATAAGACTCGCCACATCTATGATAGGCCACAATTATATATATAATTAATAATATTAGAACTTAACTCACATATCTAATTCAAAAAGATTTATATAGATATATAGGGGCCGACAAGGCCGCTGACATATCATGTCTAAAGTTATACACAGGATACTGTCTGCAAAACCTCTAAGAAAACATGATCATAATATATAAGTCGGGATAGGGTCCCCGACATCTTCATAAAACAAAGTAACATAAATAGAACGTGACTTGATAATACTCCAGGAAGATATGGAGCTCACCAACCAAAAGCTGATATATGGAGGCAACCTACAGTGGATGGTCCTCACCTCGCCTATCTACACCTGTGTGGCATGAAACACAGCGCCCTGGGAAAAGGGATGTCAGTACGAAGAATGTACCGAGTATGTAAGGCAGAAATAAAACATAATAATAATAATAAGATACTATCTCGAGGAGAGATAAGAGTCAACTTATAACTTCTGACTTGTCGTTGAGGGGCGTAATATGTAGAATAAAACCCATTTGTACATATAAATAAGACTACGATCTAGTAGTTCTGATTACATCATTCTCGTAACAATAACTGCCCAACTGATTGGTGGTAAATGCCCGACCGGCCAACGTACAGTGGTAAATATTTGACTGCCCAACCGATGGTAAATAATGATACATAACTGCCCAACCGGTGGTAACTGTCCAACCGGCCGTAGCCCGATGGTAAATGAAGATATATAATTGTCCAACAGGTCGTAGCACGATGGTAAATATATAACTGCCCAACCGAACGTAGCTCGGTGGTAAATATCTAACTGCCCAACATACAAGGCGTACACAAAAATGTCATTCTCCAAGAGATTATATAAACTCATTAAGCAACTTTGGTATACTTCTTTTCCCGAATCTTCATCCTTTCCATCTATTGATTTGTCCACTTGCTTTGTCAATTCTATTCGTCACTTAGGTCCACCCCTCCCCCCTCCGTCTGTGCCTTAACTTTTTATGTTCTCATATTGCAGAAGCAATCAAACAGAATCTATCATTAAATACCATTCAAATTTTAAGCATTTCAAAAATGCATTTTGGGATGGCTTCTATAGGACCTAAGATCTACTTCAATATACTAAGAGTGTTCAAATACTATATAACAATTTCTCCATTATTGGAATATGGATATCAAGATAAGAAATGCAAAGCAAAAGCAGATTTTATTGGTTATATATAGTTGATGATTTATAGGTCTAATACGTCACAAATACCCACAGTCAATATCCAAGGTAGGATAAATCTGACAATCAATGATACACAAAAAAAATATACTTAGACATGCTTAAATGTTACTTTACGGAGATGAATAACGTAGACATCCTTAATTGCGAAGAGTACAAACACTTAGAAAATATCATTACATTTATGTATCGTTACTTGGATCATGCCAAAAGAAAGAAGGGATAGTCTCAACATACCTGAAGTAGGAAAAATCCGTATAATATTCTTGGAAAAGATTGCACCTTACTCTTTTAGAACCATAAAATTTTACGTTGTTACGGTTCTAACAATTTTCGTTGGAATTGTTTGCAAGAATTTCTTGGTAGCTTTTTTTTTCCAGTTGAAGCTAACGTTGTTTCTTGAATAAGCCTAGGTTTGAAAGACTTATACTTTTTTATTAATTACTCCCTGTCCAAGAATGAACCAAGCTTTTTAAAGAAACCAAATCTTATCTACACTTTTTGATTTTTACACGTTAAATGGCCACTAGTCATTATTTGACTACTTAGTCATTAGCTTTGAGGTTCCTTGCTACCAGCTATTATCCTATAATTTAATAATTAACTAGGTAATGTTCTGCTACCCGATAATTAACCAATTACCCGCATAATTTAGTGTTTACCGTAAAAATGGTAATAACAATTAAACTTGTTAATGGGACTCTATAAATACATGAACTATTTTTATACTAGTTGTTAAGCAGTTGATACTGGATATGTGAAGGTAAAAAATGAAATGCGAGCTAAAATGGAATTATAATCGAATCGAGGGTTTAGCTATTCGGGCCTCAGACTGGCCGATGAGGGGACTCGAGGTCGATGCCTGGGCTCGGGCTCGAGCTATCGGGGATAATCGGGAAAGGCTAATAGTTAGGATATGATTAAGGGAGGCTCTTTATAGCCAATGACAATCAATAAATGAAGAACAAGTATGAACGTAATAAATGAAAGTAATAATATCGAGGGAGTGTATGAGAAAGCAAAGAGAGCGTTCTTCTATATTTCTTGTGAAGCGGATGGAACAACGGGGTTTACAAAAAGTGCCAAGGATCCCTATTATATTGGAGGAGAAATCCCAACATAGTACAAAATGCATGAATTATAAAGGTAAAGGGATGGGACAACTAGATAGCATTAGACTCTGTCAATATCAGCTATGTGCCTTGGGACCTCCCCCCTCCCCTATTATATGCACTGCCTCCCGGGGCCAAAACCCGGCGGCTCCCGAAGGTGGGTCTCGACCTCGACTTCAAATCCTTGAGAAGCGTGTTCACTAGGCGACCTAATGACAGGGAAATCGGGCCCCCGATTTTACCACATACAGATAGTCTCCGCGTTTCTTAGAGTGAAAGTGATTAGAAACGACCTTGAATTTCTTCCTCCTTCGATATTTTTGTAATCGACAACGACCACAAGATGCCAAGATACGACACGCATGCTGCTCCCGCAAGTTTCTGCATCGACTATGGCAGTTGGCTGCCTCTTGGCCTCCTTCAATGCACACACGGTGCTTTTATAAATACTCCCCTTCTTCTTTTCTATAACACATTGCGTGCCCAAATTCCTGAAAAGGTTCGCTCTTCTTTGCCCTCGTTCTTTCTCAGGAACGCAACTCTTTTTCTTTCTCCAGAATCTTCTAGGGATGGCAAAAAGATCCACCTCTACTTCTCAGGAGGTTGTGGTCTCCTCCTATTCGCTTCTTTCTCAAGGTGAGGTGGTTACACCTCCTCGTGCTGAGGAATGCGTCCCAGGATCTTTTGCGATGACCTCTGATTTCAAGGTCGCGAGACCTTCCTCGAAGCGAGAGTATCGCAAGCCCGTGACTGGGTATATCAGCTTGGTAACAGATGTCGGGAGAGTGAGGGTTAACTGACGCTGGGGGGATACGGTGCTTGTGGAGATCCCTACTCGGAAAGAAGATATTACGGCTCATAAAGTTGTCTTTCTAAGTGTTTACACCTATCCATTCGCCTCGGGGCCGGAGGGGCCATCCTCGCCCTCGATCGACCCCGTGATCCTCGACTTCTGTCAACGGTATCAGGTAACCCTTGGTCAAATTCATCCTTCGTTCTGGCGTATTGTTTATATGATCAGGCATTACACAAACATGATAGAGGAGATGTCCTTCACCCTCAACCACCTGATCAGAATGTATAGTCCTCGTCTCCTCCGTTGGGGCCTAATCAAACTCCGTTGTCGAGCCCCGAGGTCCCTCTTTGCCTACACCAATGAGCTCAGGAATGAGGGATGAGCAAGCCGATTCATCCGAGTGAGGACTTCTAACCGTTCCCCAAGAGGTGGAACATTGGGCGTAAGTAAATGTGTTGTCAGGTCTTCCTTCGCTTCTCTTTGACAATATTTCTCCAAGCATCTAACTCTATTTCTCTTGCTTTTTTAGCCATAGCAACCTACCCCGGTGCGGTTTCGGACCTCTAGGATTGGGTCGGCCGCTTATACTCGATTTTCCCATATGTCGAACGAGTGTGGCGGGATTTATCCCGAGCCTGGTGGGAAGCCAAAGATCATGGTAAGCTCCAAACCTTGTTGCATCCGCACCCTTTGATGCAAATCGCTATTAGTAGCATTCTTCATTATTTGTGTTTAACTTCTGCATTTGTGTAGGTCTGGAGAAAGTCCCTTTGATGAAGGAGGCACCACCCGTTGATGGGAACGCCCTAATGCTTGGCGAGAAGAAGAGAAGGTAAGGGGGTCCGTCAGTCGGACTGCCGGAGTGCAAGAGGGTTAAGGTGGAAGGATCCAAAGTCGACCCGGCAGCTCCGACCCCGGAGACGGTAGGAACCCTTGAGTTGAAGGCGAGGGGGAAAGTAGCTTCCCAACGACCCCCGAGGAGAGTATAGACTTGGCCGATCCTCAGGTCGTAGGGATGGGGGCGTTCGAACTAGAGCCTGATGCCGCTGCAGTCCATCTTTGTGGTGGGGAGGTAATGGATGGAGTATCGAGTACTACCCCTAAGTTGGATGGCGGCCAGGATTCTGCTCGAGTCGAGGTGCCTTTGGTAGGCAGTTCTTAGGAGCCCAGCTCTGGGGTCTAGGGTGAACAAGGGATGGAGACTTTGATTGATCTTGCCAACTCTGTGATCACTATTGATTCTCCTCATGGAGTGATCCTACCGCCTCATGGAGTGCAAGATGCCCCGCGTGAAGAGCCCTCTAATGTAGGGGCACTGGTCAAAGGCGGAGATGCACTCGAGAGATCGCCGACCGCTCCCGAGGAAATTCCTGAGGTTAACGCTTCATTCATTCTTGGCGAGATGGGCAGACTTTGCGAGCGGGTAATTTTTGCTAACCGTGTATGCCGCTCTGGGCAACTCCGACCTTTGTTTTTCTAACTTGTCCTTTTTCGTGGTTTCAGGCCAAAGTGCTTTACAGCCAGGCTTTCACCCAATACCAGGATGAGGTGAACCATCGCAAGCGTGAGA